TTTGGGGGTAAGGTGTCATGATGACTGCAATACACTTTCAAATCACTTTTCCAAAATTTACCAAGTGCAACAAGATACAGGAAATCGTTCACAAATTCTCAAAAGTTACTGAACTGGTATGGAGAGAAGGTAGCTAGCTGCTCATTACACTCTTTTTTAGACTTAGATGTATTTTTAGGATAAAATCTAGCACAGGACAGGTCAGAAGAAGGGGTGTTCCAACCGGAGTGTAGAACACACGGCAGGGGCCAGTTTACCTGGAAAGAAAACACAAACAACCCTCTTATTTAAGGGTGTTTGTTTTTTTTTTAAGACTTCAAAGTGGAGTGGGTTGGTCTGTGGTTGTACTTTGGGCCTCGGGAAAAAGGCTACCACTTCTCAATGTCAGCAATATTTTCCTAAAACACAGACCCCTTCTCCCAGCTGGCCAGTACCCGGATCAGTAACATAAAATTGGCAGGCAGAGTCAACCATGCTCTCAGATACTTGGTTGTTAAAGACGGATCTCTCAGCACCTCTGCCCAGAGCCCTGACTGTGCATGGTGAAGGCAGCTTGGGTTTGATTTGCATGCACATGTCCAGAGAGCAAACGCCCCCACATACCAACACACGCGCTGGCTGCAAGTGACCTCTGGCTGACAGCTGGCCACTGCACTTGCAGCTGGGGGGCTGCCCTGCACTGAAGCAGTCTGCTGAGCTCCAGGCCTAGTCAGCTTTGCTCTACGGCCCATCTGAGTGACTTCACAGTCACAGGTGACAGATAAAGTCACAAAAACAAAAGGATGTTTGGTGGGTAAGTTATGACAAACCTCACCTACTCATGGCATTTTTGTTTTATTGTTCTATTCAGGTGCCTGATGCTTTTTCATGACATCCCAGAAAACCCAGCATGGGGAGTACTTTATAAATGTGCCTCTGAAGGAAGCTCTGGGGGCAAGAAGCTGCACTGCAATCCTGAAGGCACATGGTTCGAAACCACCAGATACCCTGCTGGAGAAGGTGGGGCAATCTCCTCCTGTGCCAGTTGGATCTGACTTGACGGTACACAAAAAGAAAAATTAAAAAGTGTCTCTGAGTTTCATATTTCTGTGTATACATGCAGTCAGAAGCTAGAAAGTTCGTGGTATTAACAAAGCGATGCTGACAGCGGGACATGCCCTCCGAGGGTGGCCTGTAATGTCTGTGTGTTTATGTAGCTTGAGGAACTGGCTATAGATGACACCCAGCACAAAAACTCTCAACTGCCTGGACTGAGAAATCTCTCAAATCCCAGGGGCCGAGGCAAGAATCAGAAATCTTCTGCTGTCTAAGACATCTTTCTCTACCTGAGAAGACTTTCTCCTGGGCAAAAAGCCTCAGGTGAAAATATAGCAAGATGGTAAGCAAAGAGAGAAAAAGGGTGATTTTATGGGAAGAAAAAGAAACATAATGAAGACAGTGGTCTGAGGATTCACTCAAATTAGGGATCTAAATGATGAGATTCACCTCAGTCTTTCTCGCTCAGAAAAAGAGTCCACACTATAGAACAGAAGTGGTCTAAAACGAGAAACTTTATCCCAGCAACGACAGCAAAGTTCAACAGGGTAGCAAACAACAAATGCCGGAGAGGTTGTTGTGGAGAGATTGGAACTCTTTTTCATTGCTGGTGGGAATGTTAAATGGCACAAGCAACATGGAAGGCAGTCTGGTCCTTTCTCAAAAAGTTGGAAACAGAAATACCATTTGATGCAGCAACTGCTAGGAATATACTCTAAAGAAATCTAAGCCATGACTCAAACAGACATATGAGCACAACACCCCTGTTTACTGCTGTGTTATTACAATAGCAAAGAGATGAAAGCAACCTGAGTGCCCTTTAACAAATGGATAGGAAAACTATGGTATAGTCACACAGTGGAATACTATGCAGCATTGAAAAAAATACACAACATGGGGGGGGGGGGCTCAAGGACATTATGCTGAGTGGAACATCCCAGTCACAAAAGGACAAATACTGCATAAGATCACTGTTGTAGGGGAGCTCTGGTGGCCTAGTGGCAAGAAGCTGCACTGCAATCCCAGAGGAACACGGTTTGAATCCACCAGATGCTCTGCCGGAGAAGGAGGCGCAATATCCTCCTGTACCAGTCAGATCTGATTTGACGGTACACGCACACAAAATTAAAAAAAAAAGATCACTGTTGTAAAAATAGTAGGATAACTAGGAAAACATGTATGAGAACCCAAGGGGTGGGGGGAGAGGTGAGGATGGGCAGCGGCAAAACAACAGGGTTGCACAATTTGGTGCGTGGACGGAGAGGGTAAAGGAAATGGGAAGGATCCGGGGGGACCTGAAAAGACAGGGCAGTGATGAGGGCAGTCCAATGGTGATTAATTTTATAAAACATAATGCATGGGAGTGATTGTATGAAAATACAATGTGAATGAAGAATAGTGTGAAACACAATGCATACAAATTTTGTATACAAATCAATATAAAATAAAAATCAAACACCCCACCCGCCCATCCCAAGCAACCTCATCGCTGTCAAGTCAGTACCTATTCCTAGCTAACCCTCCACCTGGTTTTCCAAGGCTTTCACTCTGCTGGGAAGAGACTGCCAATCTTTCCCCCTTAATGCTGAGGGGGCTCAGAACCAACAGAGAGGGGTGGTCTTTGGGTTAGCACCTTAACTGCATACAGACAATGCCACTAGAGATCCCTTATCAGCAATGACCCCTTATCAGCAAAAAGCAGAGAAACCCCTGAAGGACTTTCCTTTTCACAGCAGTTCAAGAGAGAAGAGCCCTAGTTTAACAGAATCAATGACTTTAAAAGATAAAAAGGTATTTCTTTGATTGAAATTAGGTCCAGTTGGGTAAGGCAGGAGTCTTCTCACCCAGCTTCTAGGGTCCTGTGCCCTGGGCTGCTCTGTTGGTTTCTACGTGAGGGAATGAGGTTCTATTCTTATCTTTATTGCTTTATCCAGGACGGACCAGTCTTCCCATAGCTTCTACCCTCTGTCATGCCAGGACCAACTGCCCGTTTCCACAAAGTCCTCCCATGGCAAGTCAGGTGTTATAACTGTGGAGGAGTTCACTACTCCAGTCCAGCCTTAGCCAAGAGTACCAACCACAAGTGGGATTTGTATAAGAGAGCATGACAACATTAAATGAAGAGGTGAGTTCATCCCTAAAGATTCACAGGCCCAGCACGGCCACATTGAACACATCTGACCTGGCACACTTCTCAGCTGTAAGCCACTCCGCTCTGTTGTAATCATATTTTCCTCTCTGTATCACAAGTGTCAAACCCTCGGGAATAAGTTCCCAGCCCATCAGCATCAATCTCATCCAGGAAAACAGCCAGAGGCAGGCTAAGAAATGTCAGGGTCGGGAGCAAAGTAGAAAAATGAAGACTGTAGTTCTTTCAGTGAGAAAGGAAGGTCAGCGGGAGCCACGAGAGGTGGGAGGGCCGTGATATCCCCCCCACCCCCCCATACACACAAGTCCGTGCAGCTGATTCTGGCTAAGTTGTCACAAATTATTTCTGAGGGAACAAGTGAGTATTTGTTCAACAGAAAAAACAGCAAGGCAAGTAAGGGACTAAACTTGGAGGGGGGTGAAGACTGACAAATGAGCACAGTCAGGGCAACTGGTCTAAGACTTAATCAAAACAAGCACCAAAAGGGTAGTGTCCAGGAGCAGAGTGTCTTTAGCGTTCATGCACAGAAGCTCCACAATGAATGCAAGAAGAGCTGCAACGGGAGCAAAGTGCATCCTGTAGGACACACAGGCCCGGCTGCAGCATCCCTCCCCAGTGCCCAGCGGCATACTTTCTGCAGCATCTCCCCACTGTGCCGTGTGAGCAGAGTAGGGAAGTTTTGGGAGCAACTCATCTTTGGAACTTAGGCCTCAGTGCAGGTAAGTTCTAATCCTTCTTCCTCATCAAATGCAATCAATCACAAGGATACTAGCCAGCCTAGAAGACAACTGAAGTTTCTTGTTACTAACAATGAGAAGAGCTTGTTGTTGTTGTTGTTATGTGCCGTCGAGTCGTTTCCGACTCATTGCGACCCTAAGAAAATACAACCCTCAACCCAACCGCACAAATGACAATGGGGTGTAACTCTGAGTATTTCAGCAGGGTCATCTGGGGCTGCCTTCTTTATCACAAACTCCCAAGGAAGGGCCCTGGTGACTTAGCCTGGGGATTCTGAAACCTCTCCAGGCTTTCTGAGCTTCCTTTTCCATTAGTTTACCCAAGAGTCCTGGAAAGGGGAATTAAATTTTGGAACTTAAATAATAAAAGTGCATTGGGAAAGGGAATAGTGAAGGGAAACTCTTAGAAATCTGGGTTAGAGAAGCTTGAAATGGAACAGGTGGGCTTATGCAAGGAGAAGTGGGAGAAAGGAGGTGGTACAGAGAAGAAAGGAGTTTGTGTGGCTCCTGCACCAAGTAAAAGGAAAAATAAAGTGAAGGGAAAAGTCCACCCTGGGCAGGGGGCACTGGGAAATGAAACGCACGGGCTTAATGATCAAGGCATTACAAGGGATGATGCAAGGTGGTGAGATTTAAATGGTAACAGGAGATGTTAAATTCTTAGGATGTCAAAGAGCTGAAAAGCGCTCGCTCAGCACCAGCCTGGGGATTTGGGGATGTGGGTTCATAGAGCGAGGCGCAGGATAAGACCTCGTAGAGGATGCCACTAGCAGGGGTCGGAGACCCAGGCTGTGAAGTGGGGTAACCTCAGTTCACGATGACCATGAGTAGATTGGAAGGAAGGTGCGTTTTAGGCGGGTACCGCAGAAGAGAGACGTGCACGGGGTTGCAGAGAGAAAGAGAGCGGCTCAGTACTAATCTGGCAATGCCCAGCCTGGGCTGCGGCAGGCGGAAGGCATCTCTGCCCCAAGGCCCGGGTCCCCAGGCCTAAACTATCCAGGCTGAGGGTGCCTGAGGCCGGGCTTGGGCCCGCGGCTCGTCGCGCGGGGCTTGAGGAGGGGCGGGGGTCCCAGACTCACGCAACAACGTGCTGAAGGCCACGACGCCGAGCAGCCCCTGCAGGAAGATGCCGAAACTGTGCATGAGTGCACCGCTCTCGCAGCGGCCCGCCCCGGACGCGACCGTGGAGGGCGGCCCGCCCGGCAGCCCGCGGCTCGCGTTCCCGGCGAGGCCCTGCATGGCGGGTCCGGCCGGAGGGACGCAGAGCGCCGCCGCCCTCCCGGCCTCGCTGTCTACCCGGATCGCACCGCGGAGCCCACAGCTCGGAGCCCGAAGCCCGAGCCTGGAGCCGGGGACCTCCGCCCGGCCGACTCGGCGCCGCGCGTAACGCGACGTCTGAGATTGCGGCGCCTGATTGGCTGAACCCGGCGAGGAGGCGGGCAGATACCCTCTTAGGGGGCGGGGCTCAGGCTCAGGCGAATGGGCGGGGCCATGGGTGCCCGCCCGCAGGTAGGACAGCCCAGGTGATAGGGGCTGCTCGGAGGGCAGTGGGGGCCTCCCCGCAGGTAGGACAGCCCAGGTGATAGGGGCTGCTCGGAGGGCAGTGGGGGCCTCCCCGCAGGTAGGACAGCCCTGGTGAGAGGGGCTGCACGGAGGGCAGGGGGGACCTCCCCGCAGGTATGACAGCCCTGGTGAGAGGGGCTGCACGGAGGACAGTGGGGATCTCCCTGCAGGAAGGATGGCCCAGGTGAGCGTGAGCGGGACAGCACTGATAGCAGTGCGGGCGCCCCGCAGTAAGACGGCCCAGGTGAGAGGGACCACACTGACAGCAGTGGGACCTAGGAATGTCGTGATCCGACTAAGGAGAGCAGGAGCTGGGGACAGTCGTGACAAAGTCCTTTTTTATTTCCAGGTAAATCTCTCATCCTTTGGAGAATTTAAGAATACTTCTGAATCCCATCTCAGCGACTCGGTAGTTCTGAAGTGAGGCAAAATAATCTGCATTTTTAGTAAAAAACCTGAGTTAGCCTAAAGCCGGAAGATTAATTTGACCGCACGTCTAACCTATACCTTTAGAGTCCTTCTACTTCTCTTCCTGTTACAAGTACCATATATTGCGTTCATCAACTCGTCAGCTGTAGAATATTTAGTCCAAAAGGTGGCAGTTACAAGCTACCAGCCCTTCGGCAGGAGAAAGATGGGCTCTCTCCTCCCTTAAAGATTTAGAGCCTGGTGGACCTGAGGGGATGATCATGAGAGTCATAATCAACTCAGAAAGCAGGTTTTTAAAAATGGCTACCTAACAGCGGTAAAGGAGATCTAGTGGTAAGAAGCTACGCTGCAATCTCAAAGAATCGTGGTTCGAATCCATTGGCTGCTACACGAGAGAGCTGGGCAATCCCCTCCTATGTGATTTACTGCCTCTGAAAACTCGCTGGAGGGTCAACTATGGGTCGGTTCCAACTAGATAATAATTAACAACAACAACAACAACAACATTCATGAAAAACCTAACTTTATTAAAGACTAGTTTTATCCTGGAAACTGTATTCACATAACCCGATCAGGTTCAGTAAGGAGGCACCACTACACACATTTTGAGTGCAATTCCTTAAAAGAAAGCCCCAAATGGTTGGCATTTGCAAAAGTCCAACATCCCCTTCCAAATATATGCTTAATCTCCTTTTACTGTAACTTCTCCGAACTTATCTACTTCTCTCAGGATTTCTATTTCCTAGTCTCTTGTTGTTGTTGTTGTTATGTGCCGTCGAGTCGCTTGCGACTCATAGCAACCCTATGTACAACAGCCCTAAACCCTGCTCTGTCCTGTGCCAATCGCACTGTCTCTGACACTCCCATCCCTGATTATCCCAGTCACTGAATCAATCCACCTCATAGAGGGCCTTCCCCTCTTGCGCTCTCCCTCCACCCTCCCAAGCATGATGTCCTTCTCCAAGGACTGGTCCCTCCTTACAACATGTCCAAAGTATGTTAGATGGAGCCTCAGAATCCTTGATGTAAGCCTATTCTCTAGACACCTTCTATTGGTTCCAGAGAGCCCTCATCCTTTCTACTGTATCCACCCAGTGTCCATGTACACACATATTCTCCCAGTAAATACATACTTTTGTTCTATCTCCAGGGAAATTTTTCTCTAAAAGATAATTATCGAGAAATTACACTGATAGATGTTAAATATTCACAAACTTTCTTGGTTGATAATATTAACTCGATGAGATACAGCACAAAAATGCTGTTGGATCCCTACTGCCAAGCCTCTGGCTAGTCCTGTACAGTGAACTTGGCACTTGTCTGTACTTAAACATGGCACTCTGCACAGAATGCTATTCTTTTCTGTGCCCCATGAAATGCCATTCATGTTCCTAGGCCTGCCTGATGTCTTCTCCCTCTTTGGTGCTTCCACATTACCTTATGCTGCTGCCTCATTAGCACTTCTCAGACTAAGTCAGGTGGCTGTACCACGTTTCTCTCCCACAGTTGGAGGTTGAGCCTCCTGAGGCCAGGAATTGTATTTTATTCACCCTTGAAGCCAACACCGTGCCTGGCACAAAGGACATGCCATCAAAATCAAAGCCCTTTTTTTTTACATTAAACAGAGGTTTAATTTATAAAATTAAAAACTCTCCACAACTTTTGACTATGAGGAAATATAGTGCATCAAGTTAAGAAAATAAATGGGTGAACTGCATGATGGCCTTTAAGAAAGGATCTTATTCAGATGTTCAACAGTTAAGAGTCCTTGTGCAGAGAGAACAACAAAAAAGATGATATGCAATTAAAGCAGAAGTGCTTGCATTTGGGAATAAAACTATAAATTTCTTGAAGATACAGAAAGCTCAAGAGAAATTGCTTGTTGATCTGGGGTGGGAGGGGATGACATTTTTGACAAAGCACTGCTCTTCATAGCCAAATGTGGGGGGATCCTGAAGTTGTTGAGGTATCAAATATATTGGAAGAGGCAGCAGTTTTCAGACATCAGGGCAGATTCCTCAATGCCGGCTTACAAGGTTGCTGCTGGGAAAATCTGTTCTTCCTACTATTCTTAAATTAGAATAAAGACACGTCTAAACCCACTCTGGGGACAAGATCAGACAGTAGAAGGAGAGGGAGAATTCTAGAAAGGTTCATTTTATTAAAATAAGAAGGAGCTTTCTCTTCTGTGAAGAGCTGATACCCTAGGCCTCAACAGAAAGATTTTTGAAGAATTTATTCTCAAGATGGCTGCCTTGCTTTCACAGCTGCACAAATAAAGTTAAATACAGTTTAAGATGCATTTTAATGTTCTCACAACCATTTACAAAATGCCATAAGATACAAGTTTATATACACTCTCAATTTACCAAAACCAAAACCCACACAAAATATTCATCCAAAATATAAAATTGTTTTCTTAATCCTTTGAAGTTATACCATCAAATTTGATGTGAGTTATTTTAATATTCTTGTGTGTAATTCACCTTGAGTGTGTACTTTATCTTCAGTGTGTTAACTTTTTATTTTTTATTTTAAAGGGGAATGTACCAAGGAGGAAGGATACAATGCAATAGCTAAACAAGCAATTGAAGAAAAAAAAAGGCAAAATACATTCACCAAAGTGCATCAGTTCCAATGGGTCAGTGTTAGAAAGAGGCCTAAGGATGAGGCTAGAACCAGCCAGGAGTCCTTTCCTGGCCAGGCTGATTGTCTTTAAAGAGTAGTTTTTAAAAAGAGCAAGAGGAGGAAAAGGAACACTTAAAAGTTCAAAACAAACTTCATATCACCTTCCCCAGATACTTTTTGCAAAAGGAGCATAGGTGCTGCCAAGCTCTAATTCTGCCTCAACCTCATCTGCATTATGACTTTGTCTCCTAAAGTCTGTCTTCATCATCCGGACACAATTTATCCACCTCCATTCACTAAGCTAGCTATGCTCAGAGTCAGAACTGACTCCTGGCTGACCCTCCAGAGGGTTTTCAGAGGCTGCAAATCACGTTAAGAGCTTGCTCCTTTCCTCCCAGGGAGCAGGTGGTAGATTTCATCTGCCAGCCTGAGAGTTTGTAGTGCACTCTCCTCCCTGATAGGCTACCAGAGCTAAGCAAGGCGTGGAGTTAAGACTGAAAAAGCAGTGCAGACGATGGGAGTTGTCCACGTGACCTTGGAATGTGCATGTCCATCAGCAATGATGGCACCACATCACCAGTCAACATCACCGTTTACCTTCAGAATGAGATGGAGATCCTTGCCCTCTGGGGTCCGCACTTTACTGTTTTAACAGACTTGTCCAGCAAGGCTGTGATTTGTTCCCTTTAAGAAGTCCTTTATGTTAAATGGGTCATTCAGCTTTTGTAATAGCACAAGTACAAACCCAACCAATGTGTTAAGTCAGAAAACAAAGGAGTTTTATGCCCACTTCTCCACACAACCCCTTGCTCATTCTTTTGGAATCTAAATTTTCTGAAACAGTTCAACCAAGAAAATCAATGTCCTGAAGAAGATTCACCCCTAAGGTTACTCTAAACATAGAATAAGCTGTGTGGTCTCAAGCAAGTATTGATGGAAAAAACCCAAGTGGGCGGGTTTAGGACCAAATCAATCAGTTTGGATTGGACTTTGAAAACTCTGCCAAAACTTCAGTTCCATAAGTGGTTTATTTGGGCAAATTCAAATTTCCAAAATATATGCATTTTCCAGTAGGATATGGGATTCATAAAAATTCATTAGCAAAATGTTTTAAAGTGGGTAAAAAAGAACTAAACTACATTGAAAGTGGCTGGTTTCTTCCTAATTCTGAAGCCACCATCCTACAGAATTTCTGACAGAGGACATGACCAGGGTTACTTGCAGTGAGTGGACTGAGAACCAAAGATATGAAACTTTTCAAACAGGACACTTGGTCTCCAACAAGACTTAGGTTTGGTTCCATTACTGATGCCTTCTCTTTCAGCTTAAGGCCAACAAAGTCCCTGCCCAGGACATTTTAGAACGTGTATATACTCACACAAGCCACATCCATCTACTGCAGTTAAAACCCAAGAAGAACTTCCAAAATCAAGGCTTAGAGCTCCTGTGGAAATCAATTAAAGCCAAAATGGGGTCTTGAATAGAACAGTCTTTGGCAAAGTTGTTGTTAGGTGCCACCGAATGACTCACAGCGACCCTGTGAACAATAGATCTGAACCCTGACCTATCCTGTGCCATCCTTACCATCTCTGGCATGCTTGAGCTCACTGATGCAATCACTGTATCAATCCACCTGGTTGAGGATCTTCCTCTCTTCTGCTGTCTCTCCACCTTCCCAAGTATATCTTTGGTGAGTAGTGTTGAGTAAATTCAAGTGCTTATGATAGTTTTGCCAGGGAACGTCCCCATAGAGATTAACTGTCACTTGCTGTTAATGGTTACCTGGTGTTCTGTGTCCCCCCTGGAAATACTTTCTGGCTTATGAAAGGGAATGATTCTGAGTCCTCCCCAGATAAGGCCTTCTTACCACTTTTAAATGCTATTCAGGTAGCATGTCAACTACTGAACTGGAGAGGAATTAAAATGGAATCAAGTTCTTAGGAAACTATGGTGCAATGCTCACACTCTTTCACACACACCATGAGATTTATCTTACTTCCAGGAGATGCATACACAAGCCAAGTTCTGAACTGGCTTTGTATGCCTCTGTCATAACTTAGTAAATACTTGGCAAGAAGCTCCACTCAGTCAGAGAGTGTTAAGTACTGTTCCATGATGTCATATTCCTAAAAGTGAGATGCTGAGAGCCACCTACATTGCAAAAGAAAAACACTAAAAGTGGCTGGTCCCCAGCTAGTGTGTTATCTGCCTTAGCCACATCAACTCTGCTTCAACTGAGGATGGAAGTCGTTTACAACCGAAGGAACTTCAATCCCCATAAGTCTAAATTACACAGTCAAAAAGTCAACAGAAAATCTGCCCATGCAGTGAAAGATTTGCCTGACAGTCTGACATAGCAAACAGCTTTTCAAGAGTCAAGAAAATGAGAGTTAATGAACTTATTTTTTACTTTTAAGGAGAAAAAAAATTAAAAAAACGATCTTGAGAAACTCTTTCTGACCTCATGTACACTATGGATCAACTCTAAGAGAAATCCAGACAATGCAGTCTCCTTCCAATGTGCCTCCATAAATGAAAGAGTTGGTCCCTGAAAAAAACCCACAAAGCTGGCATTCCTCTGGGCAACATACGTTTGTTTTACTCAGCACGGTGGACTGTGAAAAGCTGTTTCCAAATCATAAGAATTTGACTGTCATTGCTGACAAGCCCAGTACTGACAACCCTGAAACCAAATGTAGTCTAAATTTTACATATAAAAAATGCCCTATGCATAATCCTCTGGTAATTCTCCTCGGAAGCCTGACGGATGGTCAGGGAGCTGGAACTGACTTAAGGGCAGTGACTCCAGGTTTAGGGTAAGGGCTGGGGGAAATACAATTCTTCCTTAGTGCAGTTAGTTGCCTGATGAACTAGATCGTTAGGAGAATGCAGGATATGGGAAATCCATCCCATTTCCATATCCAGTGTGGGATCAGTCTCTTTGTCTTAGAGGAAGCTGTGTCTGAGTAATCATGGTCCAAAGAAGAATATGAATGAGAAATAGAAGCCTCCTGGGCCCAGACTCTTTCCCAACTAGAGAAGAATTAGGGCTTTACGTTTCTGCTTTCTGGGGCTTTGTCCTCTTGTGTTGTGAGAGGAGGTAGTTCTAAATTCTATTGTATCTACAGAAGTCAAAAGAGATGCAAACAACATATTGGCTGTCGGTGAACTGGCTAAATTCTCCTATAGAAAAAACATTTTCTCTGCCTAAGTGAGATACTTAAGTGAAGCCTAAACATTAATTCCATAAGTGTTTTGTTTTTCCTTGTTTCACTGTTTGTCTTTCAGAGATCCTGTGCCTTAGTATCGTTACTACTGAGTTTCCAGGATATTTTACTAATATAGTCACCACTTACCCGAAATACCTACTTGCTTAGTGCTAACATGTTCCCATATGTGGCCCTTCAAGAGTAGACGCTCCAATGGCTTAGCATGTTAACCATTAATTAGGCTGCTATTAGAAAGGTTAGCAGTTCAAATTTACTAGCTGCTTCATGGGTCAAGATGAGGCAGTTTGCTCCCATTAAGATATATAGCACTATAACCCGCGGAGGGCAAATCTATGCTGTTCTGTAGGGTCACAATGAGTCCAAACTGACACCATGACGGGGTCGTCCTTCCAACTCCCTGGGGCCTAGAATTAATCAAATTTTTATAAACTGGACGCTCATACATATGAACTTTTACTTAAGTGAAGATTCCCTCCCCCGCCCCCAGACACGTTTTGTAGTAACCTAAGTAGAGTTGATACTTTAATAAGGATTTGGTTGGAGAGCTCGAGTTAAGGTGATTTATGAATTATCCAATGAAGAAAGTATTCAGATTACAGACTTTTTGCCAATGTTCATGAAAATGGCAGAGGGAGGGAGAGAAATGAAACGGGGAAACATCACAATCCATTTAAATGTCACAGTAAAGTGAAGCTTTTGAGAATCAGGACTCGGGGATGGTTTGTTTTTCTGGTTCTTTACAAGTTTCCTTTGTTGACAGGGTGCAGCCTTAGCACTTATCTATCTCTTCTTTCAGTGGGAAAAATTGTGTTTTCCTTCTCTTATAGGTTGTCATCTTACAGATGCAGCTTTTACAAGTTCTTCCTATTACCTTATATTTGTATAGTTGCTCGGAATTTACTTAGTTTGCCATTTTAAACGTTTTCAAATCATGACGAGGAGGAACTAGATTATAATTTGCTGACGCCTAGGGTAATTACAAAAAGCGCTCAACAAAGCAAACCATTTAAACGCAGCAAGCTCAAGTTAGATGTGTGTCTTTCCTCATTCCTCATGGCGGTGTCAGTACAGCAAATGCTTTTATTCTACAACAGCTGGCAGAATAAATCATTAGGAAACCTTTGCCCAGGAGTTTTATGTCAACTTCATTTGGGTCATAAGAAACACCTAACAATACTGAGCTGCTGAGTGGGATTCCTCAGACTGAGATTACATTCGGTATAAAAATTTCACTGAAGTGTGAGTGTGGTTAAGCAAAGAGGTTTCTAGAATTCTTCTCACTCCTTATACAGCCATAGGGGGAACCACCTCAGGAACCCCATGTTCTGCATCACCCTGAAAGTTCTCTCTGTTGTGCTCCTACTGTGGGGCCAAGAAACACCTACCAAATTTTCACCCAAGGTAAGGACACTAGAAATGAAATAAAACAACTACAGGAAAAAGTGGGGACAAGATGAGAGCCACTGAAGTCTGAGAACTAATGGGGATAAAGTCATTCAACTAAAATACCAACACGTTTTGAGATACTACTTAGAAGAAGGAGCCCAATCCGAGCAAAATGAAAGAAAAACAACAGTGAAGCTCTTAGACTGGATCCGTTAAGGAACTGCTGTAAGTGTCCAATAAAGCTGTTAAGGAAGAAAACAGCTTTATTTTGGTTTTCTTACCCTCCAACTTCTGTTTATGTAGTTTTAAAATGGCATCAATTAAAAAAAAAAAGAGAGAACCCACCAAAACCATCAAAACCAAACCAATCAACCAACCAAAAATAAATTCTTATACATAGCTATAAGCTCAATGATCAACAGAGGTAGAGAAAGAGAAACAGAAACTCTCAGGAATCGATTTGAAGATGGATCAAAGTGTGACTGAACATTCAAAACCCTTGAGCCATGTAATCATCCCCACAATGAACAGTTTTAATTTAAAAAAGCTTAAAAACACAATGACAGCGAAGCACTGATGTGCCTTTGGCACAGTCCCAAATCAGTGCATCTTAAAGCTACGGCCTCCCTTTCCAAGAAAGAGAAAACCAAGAACAAAGTTCAATCTACAATGGGAAGAAACAGCATGAAAAGAGAACAACCGAACGGGTGGTTCTCAGGAGCCTTGATCTTCCTTGTCTTCAGGCCACATCACTGGAAGGTTTAGTATTCTTGCAGGAGTCTATTCTTCAAAGTCTTTCTTTTTTCAGATCTACAATCTGCTGAGTGAGAAAGCCAGTCTGCCCTTGCCCAAGAGCCACTGCAGGGCGTAGTTCTGGCTTCCTTGGTGTGGATCGTCCTTCCCTGAAAGTGCAAAAAGAGCAAGCGACACCCACAGGGCCCAGGGCGCGGGGACTGGGTCAGAGCCACTTCCAGAGCGGGCGAGATTCGCTGCATTTGTGCTTCAAAGATCCAGTTCACTTTGGTTGTCCTGCTCAGTTGGCAAACTGCTCATAAAAAGCAAACTTGATCCTCTCTATATGATGGCAAAGTTTGATGGCAGGGCCCAGTTTTAAGTCCATGCACTCTTGAACAGTGGGAAGGGTAAGGAGCAACAGGGCCTGCCCATCAATTTCCTGTCAAGGCATAAAATACAAATTATTTGTGATGTGCACGTGTCAATCATGACAAGCCCCATTCACTCTGGCTTTGTCAAAATCTGAGTCCCTGTGCTTTACTTTTATTACTCTTACTGTTTACATTCAAGACCACACATTCCCTTTTTAAGGCTTCTAGACTCCATGCTAGAGAATCTTCAGAATTAATACCAAAGTTTTATCAAGGAAAAGAATTTACTCCACAGACTTTTCTCTGCAGAAATTTAGTGACCTAACTAGCTCACACACTGTGCCAAAAGAAACACTTTGTAAAGGGCTCTTTCTAAATCCAAGGGAAAATATTGACTTTAAACCTCAATGTTTTCCTGCTTGGTAACACTCAAGAAAGTATAATGAAGGAAGTTCTTCAAAGATTTTATTTCAAACCCTCCTAATTATAAAAATCATTTCAAGATTTAAGTGCACAGATGCATTTCAAAAAAATCTACTGTAAAATTTATTATCAGAGCCTAACCCATTGCAGATATTATTTTCTTACAAAAACAAGTAAATTATTATTTTGAAACAGATGGGGACAAGCAAAGTGTGTCTGATTTTAAGGCATTTAAATATTTGAAGGATGGAACTATATTCTTATAAAAATTTACCTGCTTCAAGGGTAAATAAATAATATTTATAAATATTATTATAAATAAATGAGTAGATAAATAATTCTTAATGACTTTTCTACTCCAGAAAAGGGAATGAGGTGGGTTTATTTCCCTTTTGAATTGAAATAGTTTTCCTAAGACCATTAGATAAAGAATTGGTTACAACTGTATATACTGTCCTTTGCTAAAGAGGCATATTATTGACTATTAATGTGTCAGTTACCTGGTCTAGGAATATTCTTGCAAGTGGAGCACAGTCAGTAGATCTGATGAACCGCACAACGTCCGCCACACTCCACTTCAGGGGGTTACTGTCCAGGTGAAGCCTTTCGGCAACTTCAAGTCTTATTTCCTTCATTCCCCACAGAGAAATAAGATGAGATAAGCGTTATTTTATGGGAAGGGAGAAAAAAGATATTTTATGCTACTAAAAAAATAAAAATCTCTATATGAATTTGTAATCCTTAATTTTTTTTAAAGAAAGGTATGATTTCTCCCAGCAAGGATACAAGATTTATACACATGAAGAACTCAGGTAATACTGGTCTTTTTGATGAAAAATATCAATGGGAAAGAACTTACTATAAAAGTTTCAGCACGTATAACCTAGACAATTTAAGAAGAAAAAAGGAGTTTGCAAATCTCCCATTTGTTCCTAGGTCTGTTTCAACTTTCTGGTAGGGTACTAAAGTGACATTTGCATGAGAGATGTTTTAACTATAAATTTTAAGGGAAAAAATCATTTATTGTTTGGTTCATGCAATCGTCTGAAACAGAAAACCATTTTATAAAACCTTGACAGAATACCATTCAGTTTATAATATATATTATTTATATATATACACACACACATATATGAAATATACTAAAAATGACTTAATGATACTTCTTAAAAATTTGGATATTATAAAACATTATTTCAAAAAGCAAAATTCCTTAAACTAAATGATAAGCAATAGCCAAAAAGAAGCTAGTCATGACACTTTTTTTAAACTCTAAACAAGCCACTCTAAGAAACCATTCTCATATGATTACCACCTCCTTGTAATCGTTCAGCTACACGTTTTGGAGGAAGTTTTAGAGACCTGGGAAATTCAGTTTAAGCCTATACTGAATACTAGGCCTTATTACCAACTAGATTTTGTTGGGAAATTCTACAAGGAAACTAAGAGAGGGGTTAGTTTGAAAATGTATACCTTTGGTGAAGGAGGTTTATTCTCATCGTCGGAAAATGAAAATGTGCGGTGCTCCCGTTTCCTCCGTTCCCTGTCTGGTGGCAGCGACGTGGACACCTCGCTCTGGGTGGGTGAGGAGGAGCCCGACTTCTTCTCTGACGTCTCCGACTCTTCCTGGAGCTCGTCCTGCTGCTCAGACATACTTCCCTCACTGAGGGAATCGTCATCCCCTTCATCGGGGTCATCCTCATCTTCACCCCCACTTCCCTGGAGGAAAAGGAGAAGCGTCTTACTGAAGGGCAGTTCCTGAGCCCCCAGAGCACCTCCCACCGGCCAGAACATAAAAGGTATCTTTATCAGCAGGGATCTTTTCCGTGTCCACATTGCAAAGCAGAGGTCACCTGGCTTCTAAACAGCCCGGGTCTACACAGTTCATACCTGGGGTGAGCCTGCTGGCGTGTTATCGACAGATGTAGAAGAGTGTTTCTTCTTATGAACAAAAACATTTTTCCGTCTCTTTCTCCTCTTACTGGCTTTTTTCAGAACACATGCTAAGTTACTATGCCCACCAGGCGGCCTCCCAATTCTTTTATTTTTCTTCTTTCCGTAATAGTGGGCTAAACGTGGATGACAAAGAAAAATGAAGTCGCAATGTGACTTTTGTGCAACTCAAAAAGCCACACGTGAGTCTATTAGTGTTGCAAAAACAGATATATTCTGTTTTATTGAAGGTTAGTGGAATGAACAGAATTTAAATGTATGGCTTGATTCAATCCAACTCACTGTCAACCAGTTGGAACCAAAAATAGTGGATTTTCAGGGGCTGTAAAGCAAACAGGAGGAGCCATCTTTCTCCTTCAGAGCAGCTGGTGGATTCAAACCACCTGCCTTTAGGTTGGCAGTGAAACTTTTTACCCACTAGGTCACAATAGCTTCTTACAGTTTGATTGTTGTTGCTGTGTACCATCAAGTCAGAATCAACCCACAGTTGACCCTCCAGCGGGTTTGCAGGGGCAGTTAATCACAGGAGAATGCCAATCCTCCCATGGAGCAGCTGGTGAATTCGAACTGTGTGCCTTCAGGATTGCCACTAGGACACCAGTGTTCCCTACAGTTTGACTAAGTATTAAAACTTTATATAAGTCCAGGTAATCTCCCCTTATCAAGATATAAAACATTTCTATCAATTTAGAAAGTTCCATCATGTTTCTTTGCAGTCAATTTCCCCATCAGAGCAGCCACTGTCTGCATTTCTATCACCACATATTAGTTTAGTTTTACAAGGTCTATGGAACCATACCATGGCTAGTCTGTGTTCAGCAGAATGTTTTTGAACTTCCTCTATGTTGTGTAAATCTGGAGTTCACTCCTTTTCACCCATGAGTAGGCTGTCTACCTTATGAACATGCCAGTTTATCCACTATGTGGATGTGCACTTGAGCTGCTTCCAGGTGTTGACAATTATCAAGCTATAATAAGCAAGGCTTTTGTGTGGGGGGGTATGTTTTCACTTCCCTTCAATAAAATACCTAGAGATGGAATTACCAGAGCAAAAGTTGATGCAAGGGAATGCGGATTATACAGATCATAAGCAGTTGCACTGACAATTCAAAGGTGCATTCAATCTACCAGTGGCTCCAAAGAAAGATGGACAATCTCCCCCATGTGATTCCCAGACTCAGAAACCCCCCCTGGAGAATAAGATGTGAGTTGGTTCTTAAAGACAATCAGTTGAGTTATTGAGGGTAGATGCAGGTTTAACTTTTTTAAAAAACCGTTATTTTTCAAAAAAATGTCACATAATTTTACATTCCAAGAATACATATTTGAGAGTTTAATGGCTCCACAGGATTGACAACATGTGGGATCGCCAGTCTTGCTCATTTCAGTCACCCTATGACTACACAAAAACAACTGCGAGTGTAGGACTTTTCATTATAGTTTCAATTCACATTTCCCTAATGACTAATGAGACAGAGTCCTTTCCACATGTTCAATGGCTGTTTACACTCACACACATATATACATATATATGCCTTATTAATTTTATAAAATTATTGCAGTTCTTATTATTTTAAATTTTCAAAATTTAGATAAAATTCACATTCACCATTTTATGTGTGTGTTTTATGTACAGTGAAGCAGTTTTGAGTACACTTACTATCCTGTGCAACTGTCAGCAATATCTCTTTCCAAAATATTTCTTTTTCTTTCATGTTAGACAGGTAATGTGCCAACATAACAAGGTTTAAGGGAGGCATGGACACCCCATCATCACACTTACAAATCAAAAAAGGATCTCATTCTAAAATATTTTATCTTTTTAATAGTAAGTTTTGGGAATTTATTGTCAAATATACATGTTGGGAATATTTCCCAGAGTTCGTGGCCGGTCGTTTTCAGTTTTGATGATGTTTATGAATTTTTTCCTTCAGTGTTAGTGTATTCTTATGTTCTATTCATGGAGCATTTGCTACCTAAGGTCTTAAGGATATTTATTTTTTCTAGAAGCCTTTTGATTTTTCACTTTTACATTAGTCCTATAAGCCATCTAGGATTAAATTTTTTTTGGAGTAATTTTTATACAGTGTAAGGCAGGAGCCAAGCTTATCAGTTTCATTTTGTTTTAATTTGGGCATCCAGTTGGATAGCACCATATGCTGAAAAGATTTCCTTTTTTCATTGAATGTCTTTGACTCTCTTGCTGAAAAATCACTTAACCATGCTTCTGGACCTTCTATTCTGTTCTGTGGTTTTATTTCCCTAATCCTTTTATCATTACCACCCTAGTTTGATTGGTACTGTTATGGTCAAACGTGAAATGAAAATAAGTCCTGCAGCTTTATTCTTCTTTTTCAAGATTGTTTTAGCTATTTTTGATTACATACATTTATACTTCAGGATACAGAGAGAACCACAACAATGAAATATATATAAACATAGCTCTGTATTATGTACTCAAATAATAGCAAAGTATGATGTAATTTTCTACAAAAGACAAAGAAATCCTAAGGCTGTAAATCTTTTTGAAATCACTCAAATAACTGAAATTGCAAAGCCTCTCCTAAAATCTGGATTAATTTTGGCTATTATCATTCAGACTGTGAAAAATAAACTCCTATTAAAACCCATACATCTTTCAAAAGCTTGGAGTTGGTATTCATGTACTCCTTGTATATTAACATTCTGTTCTCTGGGATTTCACATTTACAGCAGCAGGTTAAAAAAATCTATTATCCAACTAATTTTTACGGTATTGTTAGGTACTGTGGAGTTGAAACTGGCTCATAGTGGACCCTCCAGCAGGTTTTCAGAGGCACGAGAGGAGATTGCCCATCTTTCTCTCTTAGAGTAGCTGGTGGATTTGAATTGTGAGTATTTGGGATTGCAGCACAGCTTCTTAACACTATGTCACTAATGCTACCTAACATCTATTTGTCCTCACAGCAAACAACTGTCGGTAACAAACTGCCAAGGTGCAAGGTGAGAGTAACGATGGCTCTGAGGGTTCTGTGTCCACCTGACTGGGCCAGGAGTCTGAGTGGTTTTGCAGTTACAATGTGATCTGGCAGTTATGTGACCCGATGTGGCAACCTGCCATTTTCACTTAACGTCAACTTACACATAATCATCTTGTCTCTGTAACCAGGGCAGTAAGTGAGGAATGGGTATACTAATTGATGTACTAGCTCTGGTGGCCTAGTGGTTAAGAAGCTGCACTGCAATCCCAAAGGCATGGGGTTTGAATCCACCAGCTGCTCAGTGGGAGAAGGATAGGCAATCTCTTGCAATTTTCTGCCTCTGAAAATACACTGGAGGTGGGAGCTATGGGTCAGTTCTGACACAATGGCACAAACAACAACTAAAGTAGTATATAGCACTTTACTTCTGAGCCAAGCCAATCCCTCTCCTTAAGGAGTTTAGAGGCCAATAGATGTACAAGCAAGAGGGTTAACTTTTAAAATTAGTTTCATACAATACTTCATATCTACTGTCTTATAACTGATCAATGTTTTTTATTACCACATCTCATCACAGCCTCACTGATCTTGCCTATTCCTTATGCCACCCATCTACCCACTAATCTCTGCTGTCCTATTTTTTTCTTTATCCCCTTTCTTCCTCACCACTCTTCCCTAGAAGTTTAACTCTTACAGTATTTTAAGAATTCCAATACTGATTAGAAACCTCATCATGTAAAATAGAATCCTGCCACTTGGCGTAAATTGTAGATAAGCAGCATTAGCAGCTACTGAACGTTTACTGGAAGTGTAGAGCCTCGGGCCCCAGGCACCCAGTAAACATGATAAATTTGAGCCTTTTTTTCAATAGGGTCCTCAGGTGATTTGCATGCACAATGAAGTTTGAGAGGCGCAGAATTAGAAATCTCGTAAAAAAACCTCTTCAAATATAATAAGGTAAAAGTCTCTTCTGGACTGATTCTCCCAAATGGTATCAGGGCTTGTAGGATTTAGAGAAAGACAGGGTCAGGATTTAGTCTCTGGGTGAGAAGGCTCTAAATCTGAAATTTCATTCTATATATGTGTTGTTGTTATGTGCCGTCAAGTCGCCTGCGACTCATAGCGACCTCATGTAATTTAAAAAATTTTTTCAAGTTTCACAAGGGAGAAAAAACAAGAGTAAGATCGAACAGGAGATGTCAGGACAGCTCCAAGCATAAGACAGAACAGGTGATGTTAGGACGGTTCCAAGTGGGGTTAAGCAACTACCTCCTGCTGCTACTCCCTCCTGCCCAATGCTCCTGGTTCTTCACAGGCACCAAGCACATTCCTGCCCTCAGGCTGTGCCCTCTCCACCCCCTACATACAGCACCCCACCTCTGATGTCCACATGACTGACCCTGCTGCTTCTGTCAGCACGTTTTTACCTGTCAGGAAGACAGCTCTGACTACCCCTACCGGTCCTCCCTCACTCTTCCACTTTGCATGTTCACCCTACCTCGCTTTTCTCCATAGCACTTATCTCTCACTATTTCTTCACTGATTTATTATCGGCTTCCCACACTAGAAAATGTGCTTCACCAAGGCTGGGAATCTTGTTTACTGCTGTATGACAGTGCTAGAACAACGGGAGCATATGGTGGACATGTAATAAACACAGACTATATGTAGGAATCACACATCCTATTAGATGTTACAGACAATATATACACGTTACATCCTATTACATGTTACAGATAATATATACACCTTACATATGACAGTTGACAAAATAAGACCCTGTGGCCTTTGTATGACCTGCAAGCTATAAAAGTTTCTCATTTTTTTAAAAGGGTTATTAAACTAGTGGAAGCCCCACAATTATGACTCTTTAGTCACCCTTCAAACCTAGATCTAAGCTCACCCCTTGTGGTACAGCTTTCAACCATATAAGAGACATGCCCACAAGGTGAAAAATAACAACAGAACTCATTCCTTAGCAAGACCAAAGGCCATATTAGTCCAAGGACAAAGCTCTGAAGGCAGGAAGGGACAGGACAGAAGGATGAATAGAGACAAGAATCACAGAGACAAAGTGTGACAAGTGCTCTGAGGAGTGTTCTAGTTAATGTCGTAAAACAAAATGTGTATGAATGGTTGAATGGAAAAGCAATTTGGTCTGCAAACTTTCACTCAAATGACAAAAATAAATATTTAAAAAGAGGAATAATATGTATGCTCCATAGCTTAAAATATTTGCTACTAGCTCTTTAGGAAAAATTTTGCTGACCTCTCATATATATGAATGTCTATAAATTAAATTCCAGGATATAAAGTACAGTCTGTTGATACAGTTAACAAATTAAAAAAAAAAGACTCACTGTATTTGGTCTTTGTAAGCACAGAGCAGTTCTCAGAACATTTATCTAGAACCATCCGTGGGCCAAAGAGGTTAGGACAGCATTCCAGTTTGATGCAAGTTTGTCGGCAGAATTCAGTCACTCTATCGGCTGTTTTCACAATCTCAACAGTGGCCCTATAGCTCTTTCCTTTATATCTGTCATTGGGGAAAAAAAAATGCTGTTTATTAGGGTAATGATTAGTTGAGGGGGGTAAAAAAAAAATCTTACCATAAGTTTGTAAAGTTCTTTGTTTCTTTTTTAAATTTTTTTATTGAGATTTTTTTTTAATTTATTAATTTCTATGAACATTTACAGAGATTTTGGATTTCCATTCATTCATTGTTGCACTTTTCTCCCCACCCACCACCCCCAACCCCTAGTTCGCTCTTCTCTTTGAAAAGTAAAAGGAAAATAACTGCATTGGTATACAATCCCCACACACACACCCCACCACCACCCCAAGTATACTCCACTTTGCAACCTTCATTCTGGGCTCTTAGCATAATTGTAATGCCCTAAAATATATTACTTTTAAACCGTTCTCTCCCTCATTAGTTTCAATACAATTTCATTAACATTTTAATTAAAGTTTCTAAAGAACTTGGATTTCCATTCATTCATTGTTGCACATTTTCCTCCCTGCCCCCGCCAGGTAGCTTTTTCCTTTGGGAAAAAAGTTCTTTCATTGTTACACAGACACACACCCCCCCCCCGCCCCCTTTTACTATACAGGTAAAGTTCTTTGTTTCTTAAGAGTATTCTACATCCTATATAGCTTGAAGACTTGGGGGGTGGGGGAATGAAGAGTTCATGTGGGTCATGATTAAGTCAAATTTATAATACGGTAAACTGGGACCACTAATGTTATGTACCGTCAAGCTGTATACAATCCACAGTGTCCCTAAAAACAACCTATCTGAACCCTGCCCTATCCTGTGCCACCCTCACACTTCATGACACACTCAAGCCCACTTTTGCAGTCACTGTGTCAATCCATCTGGCCGAGGGTCTTCTTCTCTTTCACTGACCCTCTACCTTTCCAAGGAAGCTCTGGTGGCCTAGTGGTAAGAAAACTGTGCTGCAATCCCAAAGGCATGTGGTTTGAATCCACCAGCTGCTTGCGGAAGAAGGATGGGAAATCTCCTCCATGCCTCTGAAACCTTGCTGGAGAGTCAGCTACGGGTCGGTTTTGACTTGATGGAACACAACAACCACATACCTAGAAGCATGATATCCCGTTCCAAGAAATAGCCCCTCCTAGCACATGCCAAGGTATGTGACCACAAAAAGGCAAGATTATTTCTTTAAGAATAGAAATTAAACTTTCCGCTCCGTCATCCATGGTGGGACCACTGCTAAGATACAGATTTTCGTAAAAACCCTCACGGGGAAGACCATCACAAGGTTGGACAATCGAGAATGTCAAGGCCAAGATCCAGGATAAGGAAGGAATTCCTCCTGATCAGCAAAGACTCATCTTTTCTGGAAAGCAGCTGGAAGATGTGCGGACCCTGTCTGACTACAACATTCAGAAGGAGTCCACTCTTCACCTTGTATTGAGACTTCATGGTGGTGCTAAGAAAAGAAATCTTACACAACTCCCAAGAAGGATAAGCAAAAGAGAAAGAAGGTTAGGCTGGCTGTTCTGAAATACTATAAGGTGGATGAGAATGGGAAAATTAGCCGCCTTCAGGAGTGTCTTTCAGATGAATGCGGTGCTGGAGTCTTCATGGCCGGCCACTTTGACAGACACTACTGTGACAAGTGCTGTCTGACTTACTGCTTCAACAAACCAGTTGTTGTTATGTGCCATCGAGTCGTTTCCGACTCATAACAACCCTATGCACAACAGCTCTAAACCCTGCTCTATCCTGCGCCAACC